CCTCGATCCGAATCTCCGCGTTACGTAACGTGCTCCCCCAACCCGACTGCAGTGGTCTTGTCCCCCCGCCCCCATGGCCCGTATTGCGCTCGCCATTGGCTGGGAGCAGCAGCGGGGCGGGGCGAGGAGGCTATAACTAGGGGCGGCGCGGTAGGGGCCGCGTTCAGTCCATCGCTGCCGCGCTCGGGTTCTGCTGCTCCGGTGCTTTCCCGCTCTGCCCTTCCGCCTGTCGCCGCCCATCGCGCCGCCATGAACGGGCAACTCAACGGTTTCCACGAGGTGTTCATCGAGGAGGGCACCTTCCTCTTCACCTCCGAATCTGTGGGCGAGGGGCACCCAGGTGCGGGCCGAGCGGGGCTGGGCGGGGCGGCGATCGCGCAGGCGCGGCCGGGGGGCGAGCGGGAGGGGGGCAGAGGAGGAGGAGGAGGGTGGCGAGGATGAAGACGAAGGCGAAGGAAGCGAGGATGAGGATGGATGGGGGATGAGGGTGGGTGCTCTTCCGATCTCAGGACTGGGAGTAGGGTTGTGGGGATGGTGGATCAAGGAATGACAGGGGCGGGCGCGCGCTCGCCGCATTGCGGGCCCGGCGCGCACGTGCTGCCCGCGTGGGGCGGGACACGGGGCCCGGTGCCGCCGTGACTCAGCCGTGACTAAGCAGCTCCCGGTGCCCCCGCAACCCCCACGGGACCCCCCCCTGCCGTGGGCTCCGTCCCCGCGTGGATGGCGGCGGTAAGGCAGACCCGGTGACCCCCGCACACACCCCCACACCGGAGGGCCGCCCCACGACGGTGCCGGTGATGAAGTCCCGTGGGTCTGCCCAGATGTGCCCTCGCCGCAGCTGGAGCCCCCCAAGCCGGGTACCAGCCGGTGCCGGTCTCTCCCGGTCTTTGTCTTCACCGGTTTGGGGCATATGACCGTTAATCTGCGGAGGCGGCTGCCAACGCCCAGTGCCCGCTGCTTGGGCACACCCAGTACCCCTGAACCCTCTCAGCTCCGGCACCCAGGGCACACTCAGCACGTCCCGAGTTCCCATCAGCTCCAGATCCCACTCAGGCCCCACAGCTCTGCACCTTCTGGCTCAAGCATCCACAACCCGTGGGTGCTGTGGGGCTGTCCCCACACTGCCTGAGGGCGGAGGTTCTGAGCTCCAATTCCTCACTGTTCCCACCAAAAAGCATCCGGGGGATGCTCCTCCCCTCACCCCAGCCGGGCGCTGCCTTGTCCTCGCCCAGATCCTGCCCGGAAGGTCGCTGCCAAGGACACCCGCAGTCCCGGGGACACGGGTGGCCCTTGGGACACCCCCACCCACGCGAAACACGCCGGGAGCAGGAGGGAGCTGGGTGTCTGCTGGGGCATGGCTGGAGCAGCTTTGGCTGGAGGCAGAGCTGCTGGGAGCCGGCGTGCTGCAGATTTGAGAAGCTGGCACACAGGTCTGATCCCCTCAGTGGTGCCACGGGGCTCAGCCTTAGTTGGAGCTGGAGCTTAACTGGGACATGCCTGGAATTCCAGGCTGGGGACAAGGCGAGGGCTGTGTGCACCCTGGGGGGCTCCTGGATTATGGGGCCGGGATCCCTGAGCTGGAGGCTCCGGAAGGAAGGGCTGTGCCGTGTCGGGCTGTCCCACGCCACCGTGACGCCTCCTGCTCTCCGTGTCCCCAGATAAAATCTGTGACCAGATCAGCGATGCCGTCCTGGATGCCCACCTCAAGCAGGACCCCGATGCCAAGGTGGCTTGTGGTGAGTAAGGGCACCAGGGGACAGCCGGTGGGTGACGTGGAGGTGACACGGCGCTGACGTCACCCTTGTCCCTGCAGAGACGGTCGCCAAAACCGGGATGATCCTGCTGGCGGGGGAGATCACCTCCCGGGCCAACGTGGACTACCAGAAGGTGGTCCGGGACACCATCCGGCACATCGGCTACGACGACTCCTCCAAAGGTGTGTCCCGGGCTGCCACCGCCTCAGGGACAGCGCGGGGTGGCACCGGGCTCACCAGAGCCCCCTTTGTCCCCGCAGGTTTTGACTACAAGACGTGCAACGTGCTGGTGGCCCTGGAGCAGCAGTCCCCGGACATCGCCCAGGGCGTGCACCTGGACCGCAGCGAGGAGGACATTGGTGCTGGTGACCAGGTGAGCCCCGGGGTCACCGTGGGGTCGCTGGGGCGTGACCCAGGGCTGGGCGTGACCCCCTTGTCCCCGTGCCACAGGGGCTGATGTTTGGCTACGCCACGGACGAGACGGAGGAGTGCATGCCCCTCACCATCGTGCTGGCGCACAAGCTCAACGCCAAGCTGGCCGAGCTGCGCCGCAGCGGGGCCCTGCCCTGGCTGCGCCCCGACTCCAAGACACAGGTGAGGTGCCACGGGGTCCAGAGAGCCGTGGGGAGCCCCGTGTTGCCCGCCTGGCCTCTGACTGGTGTCCCCCGGCAGGTGACAGTGCAGTACATGCAGGACCGCGGGGCGGTGATCCCCATCCGCGTGCACACCATCGTGATCTCGGTGCAGCACGACGAGGACGTGTGTCTGGACGAGATGCGTGACGCTCTCAAGGAGAAGGTCATCAAGGCCGTGGTGCCCCCCAAGTACCTGGACGATGACACCATCTACCACCTGCAGCCCAGCGGCCGCTTCGTCATCGGCGGGCCCCAGGTGCGGCCCGGGGCACTGTGGTGGTGACAGTTGTGATGGCACGGTGGTGGCACAGTGATGGTGCTGTGCTGAGGGCTGGTGACAACACGGTGACAGTGCTGATGGTGGTACTTATGGTAGCAGAATGGTTGGATGGCGGTGGGAATGGCACAGAGGTGGTGTGGTTAAGATAGTGATGGTAACACAAGACGGTGATGGCACAGGTGACAACACGGACAGGGTTGTGACACTGCTGTCCCCACCAGGGCGACGCGGGGCTGACCGGCCGCAAGATCATCGTGGACACGTACGGGGGCTGGGGCGCGCACGGCGGCGGCGCCTTCTCGGGCAAGGACTACACCAAGGTGGATCGCTCGGCCGCCTACGCCGCGCGCTGGGTGGCCAAGTCCCTGGTGAAGGCCGGGCTGTGCCGCAGGGTGCTGGTCCAGGTGGGTGCTGCTCTGCCTCCAGGTGGGCGCCGGGCCCCCAATCCGGGCTCTTGGGGGGTCCAGGCTGACCCACAGCCCCGCGTTTCCCCCCCGGCAGGTCTCGTACGCCATCGGGGTCTCGCACCCCTTGTCCATCTCCATCTTCCACTACGGCACCTCGCAGAAGAGCGAGCGTGAGCTGCTGGAGATCGTCAAGAAGAACTTCGACCTGCGCCCCGGGGTCATCGTCAGGTAACGGGCGCTGGGGGGCTGTGCCGGGGGGCGGGGCGGGCGGGGGTCCCTCCCGGAGCAGCCCGGGGACCGCCTGGCGCCTGGACCCGGCGCGGAGCCGCTCGGCCGGACGGAGAAGGCGCGCTCGGGGCGCGGACGGGGTAAGTATCCGCCGGAGCCGAGCGCTTGGAGCTTCCCCAGAGCAGCCTGGAGCAACCTCCGGGGAAGCTCCAACCGCCCCGCGGGGTGGGCAGGGGGCGGAGGCGGCGCTGAGGAACCCCCGGCCAGGCAGGGAAGGAAAGGGGCGAAGGCAGGAGCCCGGGGCAGCCTCACTGAGTCGGGAATTGTGTATTCCAGGGATCTGGATCTGAAGAAGCCCCTCTATCAGAGGACCGCAGCCTATGGCCACTTTGGTAGGGACAGTTTCCCTTGGGAAGTGCCCAAAAAGCTAAAATACTGAGGAAAAAAAAGCATTGTTAGGGCTTTTTCCCCCCACTCCCGCGGGCGTAGGTTACAGAGAAGCCCGTGGGCTCTGGGGGAAAGAGCTCCCGGCCCCCCCCAGGCTCCCCGGCCCCGCCATTGTCTCTCACCATCGTTTTGGTTGTGTGGGGACCACGTGCCTCTCCTGGAGCCCCCCGTCGTGTTCCCCCCAGTTCCCTCTGGATGGTTTTTAACAGATATCTCTTCACTCCGAGCTGTGAGATGGGGAAAAAGGCCCAAGTGCCCTCTCTCACCCTCCCCCGTGCCCCCACAGTCCCTCTGTGGCAAGGGCCACCCCGTTTTGGGTCCCAGCAGTCCTGCTGTGGGGGGACCCCCCATTTTATCACTCCCCATTCTCCTTTTTTCCCCAAATTCCACTACATCAGGGGGACCCCCGTTTTGGCTCCCGCAGTCCCCCCCATCCTGCTGCAGGGGGGGACACATGAACCCCTCGTTCTGGCTCCCTGTGTGTCCCCTCCACAGTCCCCATTCCACTGGGAGGACACTCATTCTGGCTCCCCCAGTCCCACTGGTGGGGAAGACACTTCCCATTCCACCTCCCCACCCCCCTGGGACCTCGCTGGTGCTGGGTTTGGTTCTTAACCCTCATTTTTAACCTCTTTTTGTTCCAAAAATGCACATTTCGGGGGGGAACACGCTAAAACCGACCCCCAAACCCCCCCTGAGGGTTCGGTACCAGAGGAAAACATTTTACATTCTTTTTCTTTTTTTTTTTTTTTTTTTTTTTTGGGGTTTTAATCCAAAAGCTGAAGCAACTCCCCAACTGCACAACCCCTCCACCCCCCCCCAACTTTGCCCGGATTTTGGGGGGAAAGGGGGGGCATTTGGCGCTTGATACTTGAAGGTTTGGTGTATTTATTGTGCGCCGAGGCGGGGGCGTGAGTACAGAGAAGTCCCCGCGCTCAGCCGGCAGCTCCTGATCCCTGAAAGCCCCCCCTTCCCCTCCCCCCTCCCCCCCCCCCCCCCCCCCTTTGGGGGGGGGGGGATGTGAGCACCTGTTCTCCCAGTACATCCAGAGGCATGGCCAAGGCCATTCTCAGGCTGCTATTTTGGGGTGAAAAAGGGGGGGATTGGGTTTGTTGGAGCGCCGGGGGTGCCCGGGCGTGGCGCTGGTGGCCGGTGTGGTACAGAGAAGCCGGCTTGTTTACTGCCCGCCCGGGCTCCGGCCCCCAGAGTGCCTTGGGGAGGGGCAGGGGGGGCTTTCTCCTGCCCTCAAGGGTTTTATTTTTATTTTTTTCTCTTGGTTTTACTATTTTCGGGAGGTTTCGTCCGAATGTTTTGATCCACTGAATCCAAAAAAAAAATGAACTCAAAAAAAAAAGAAAAGAATCTCAATAAAAGCGATGGGTTAGACGGTGCCACCTCGAGTGTGTGGGGGACACGGGGGGAGCTCTGAGGGATTTTGGGAACTGAGGCACTGCAGATGGAGAAATTGGGGTACGAGGGAAGGTGGGATGTGGGGGAGTAGAGAGGGAGAAAGTGTGTGGGGGAACAGGTACTGGAATGGGGGGAAAGAGGCAGGAATGAGCATTGGGGCAGCAGGTGTGGGGGAAATTGGGGTTTGGGGGAATACCGAGGAAAGGGAAAAGGGATGTGAGGGAAATGAGCTCGGGGGAAGCAGGGTGTGAGGGGAAACAGGCACAGGGGGAGATGGGGTGGAGGAAGCAGGAAGGGAACGTGGCTGAGGGATGGAGGGAAAGGGGCACAGAGGGTGGGGAACGAATCTGGGGCACCGGGGGAAACCGAGGCACGGGAGCATTTCTGGCTTACAAAACTGCATTTATTTGGGGTGTTCAGAGCTCGGGGCCCCTCTGGGCCCCCCCATCGGCCTCGGGCTGAGCCTCCTCCTCCTCGCCGCGCCAGCTGGCGAAGGCCACCTCCTGTGCCAGGCGCTCCGGGGCCGGGCGGCCCAGCGCCAGGTTCCGCAGCGCGATCAGCGTCATCAGGGCACTGCGGGGACACAGCGGTGGGCACCGGGGACAGGAGGGGACCAGGGGCACGGGGGGGGGCGTCGGGACTGACCTGCGGCGGAAGAGGAAGAACTTCCTGCGGAGGAAGCGCCGCAGGCGCTGGGCAGGGCTGGCCTGGCGCTCGCGGCGCTGCTGGCGCTGCTCCCGCCGCAGGAGCAGCGACACCAGCGGGTCCAGGGGGGCCCCCGCGGGCAGGGGCTCCCCCAGCAGGGGATGCAGCTCGGGGGGCAGCGGGGACTGTTCTGGGGGGGCAGAGGTGGAGCGGGTTGGGGGGTGATTGATCCTTCCCGCCCGGCTCAGCGGATTCTGGGGGTCCCCGTGATCCCCACGGTGTGGTGATGGGAACGGGGGATGTCGCCGTGATCTCCCCACCCGAGTGACAGCGAGTGGCTGTCCCTGTCATCCTCCCATGCTGCTGCTCACCAGAGAGTGAGGTGACTGGAATTGGGGGATGTGCTGTCCCCCCCACCCCAGTGACAGCGACTGGGGCCATCCTTGATCCCCTCAGCCCGCTGCTCACCGGGGGCTGAGCTGACGGAGCTTTTGGGGTCCCGCAGGGCACGAGGGGATTTTGGGGTCCCAGGAATCCTCAGGGATTTTGAGACTCCCAGGTGTGAGGCTTTGGGGGTGCCCAGGGCCGAGGATGTTTGGGGTGTTTGGGGGTCTCACCGGTGCCGTTGCGCACGCGCTCCCGCAGCTCCCGCAGCCGCGTCAGCTTCTGCTCCAGCTCCAGGAATCCTCAAGGATTTTGAGACTCCCAGGTGTGAGGCTGGGGGGTGCCCGGGGCCGAGGGTGTTTGGGGTGTTTGGGGTCTCACCGGTGCCGTTGCGCACGCGCTCCCGCAGCTCCCGCAGCCGCGTCAGCTTCTGCTCCAGCTCCAGCGCCGTGGTGTTCACGTACAGGTACAGACTCCCAGGTGTGAGGCTTTGGGGGTGCCCAGGGCCGAGGATGTTTGGGGTGTTTGGGGGTCTCACCGGTGCCGTTGCGCACGCGCTCCCGCAGCTCCCGCAGCCGCGTCAGCTTCTGCTCCAGCTCCAGCGCCGTGGTGTTCACGTACAGGTACATGTAGCACGAGGGCTCGGGGGACACCGTGTGCACCTTGTGGTACTGCCCCGCCGGCAGCTGGGGCAGCGGGGCGTCAGCACCCCCAGGGACTCCCCCAAACCCCCCCAGGGTAACCCCCCGAGCCTGCCTCACCTGCATGGCCTCGCCCTCCTGCAGAGAGCGGTTCTGCTGCTGCTCCACCAGCTCCACCAGCACCTGCCCCCGCAGCACCCGCAGGCTCGTGTTGCCCAGGTCCTCGCTCACAAAGTTCTCCAGGTGCAGGCCTGGAACAGCCGGCTCTGTACCCCCACCCCAAATCCCCCCACATCCCCCCAAGCCCAGGTACCCCCCCATGTCCTCTGCTCCACCCTCACACTGACTGCGGGGACCCCTGTACCCCAAAATCCCCCCCAACCTCAGGATTGCCCCATGCTCCGTACCCAGCCCCTGAACCCCTGGGACCCTTTGTGACCCCTCTGTGCCCCCCGGACCCCACCCCTGGAGCCCTGGCCGCACCGGGGAAGTCTGCGATGAACACGGTGTCCGTGTGTCCGTCCAGCTGCGCCTCCAGCTCCTGCAGCCGCTGCCGCCACGGCGACAGGTCCACGAGCAGCGGGAGCAGCCACGGCGTGGGGGTCCACGGGGACCAGGGGGCACGGACCAGGTCCACCCGGGGGTCCACGAGCCTGAGGGGACAAAGTGTCAGGACCCCGCAGCGCCCCCAAATCCCTTGGGTGCCCCCAAACCCCAGTGACAGTGCTCAGAGCACGGGCGACCTTAAGAGCACATGGGGTCCAGCTGTGGGGACAAGCCACCCCCTTGTGGCACCCCAATGTGTCCCCAAACCCTGTGTCCCCTGTAACCTCAGCTGAGAGCAGCAGCAGCCACAGCTCCCAGCCCAGACGCACCCATGGCTCCTGTCCCCCTTGTCTCCCGTGTCCCCTGTCCCGTGTCACCTCTGCTGGAAGCGCTCGTTGATGGACACCCAGACGTCGAAGTAGATCTGGGGCTGGCTGACGTTGTAGCGCGGCAGCAGCCGGCTCAGGCAGGCCGAGTACTGCTTCAGCATGTCGGCGTGGTCCCGCCAGCGGCGGCTCTGCGTGAACGCCTGCGGGCACGGGGACACTGAGGCACGGGGACACTGAGGCACGGGGACACTGAGGCAGGGGACACTGAGGCAGGGGACACTGAGGCACGGGGACACTGAGGCAGGGGGAAACTGAGGCACGGGGACACAGGCATGGGGACAGCAGCATGGGGAAACTGAGGCACAGGGAAACTGAGGCACGGGGACACAGGCATGGGGACAGCAGCATGGGGAAACTGAGGCAGGGGGACACTGAGGCACAGAGATACGGAGAAACTGAGGCACAGGGACACTGAGGCACAGGGACACTGGGGCAGGCAGCACCATGGGGAAACAGGCAGTGAGGGACAGGGAAACTGAGGCACGGGACAGTGACACAGGGAAACGGGCAATGAGTGATAGAGAAAACTGAGGCAATAAGGGATAGGGGAATGAGGGATAGGGAAAAACGAAGCACAGGGGTTGTTCCATGAGTGATGGAGAAACGGAGGCCCAGGGAGAAAAGGAGGGATGAAGGAAACTGAGGCCCACGGGGGAGTGCCCGTCTCTGGGAGCGCTGGGGTCACTCACCCCTGGTTTCAGGTAGCCCACCTCCCCGGTGAGCCCGTCCCTGTAGGTGATCTTGACGTGCTGGTGGAAGCGGGAGTGCACCATCATGTCCCACGAGTAGCCGTAGAGCCCGTTGGTCCAGTTGTTGTAGCCCTGGGGACACGTTGTGGGGGGTCACACAGCACTGGGGTGTCCCCACCCCAGGGGACAAGGAGGTGACAGGCACCCCAAACCTACCACTAGCCCCATTTTACCACCCTAAATGCCCCTCCATCCCCCAAACTGCCCCCTCTATGCCCTCCCCACCCCCCAGTCCCCTCCCTGTGTCTCCCAAACTCCTTCTCACCCTCCTCAGACCCCCCCTTTGTCCCCAAACTTGTCCCCAGTCCCTCCCCGTGCCCACCTGGGTGATGAAGTGGGAGTAGGGCAGGAAGAGCTGCTCCAGCACGTAGAGGATGGTGAAGGCTGCAGCCAAGTGCTGCCGAGGCCGAAGGCTCCCCCGGGCCCTCCGGCCCCCATAGAGGCAGTCAGGGCTGGGCTGGGGGGGCTTGGTGGTGGGCAGCCAGGCCTGCAGCCGGGGGGGACAGCGGGCCACGAGCCCCCGGGGCCACTCGGGCCGGCAGAAGAGCCCGTTGGTGGCCAGCATGGTGTAGGAGAACATGCCTGGGGGGAGGACACTTAGGGACCCCCGCTGCACCCGGGGGTGGGGGGTGCCCCTGTTTGGGATTGAGGGGGTCCCTGTGCAGGGACAGGGTGTTTAGGGGTGTCTGGGCCACCCCTGTTTGGGTTTGGGGGTGTTTGGGGGTACCCAGGGGTCCCATATCCAGGTTGGAGATGCTCTGGGGGTGCTCTGGGGGGATTTGGGGGTGCTCTGGGGGGGTCTGGGGGTGCCCTGGGTGGGTCTGGGGGTGCCTTTCCCCCCCTCACCGATGCTGAAGAGCTGGGAGTTCATGCAGTGGAAGTAGGTGACGAAGACGAGGGCCAGGGGCCGCGTGGCGTCGAAGAAGAGCAGGAAGCCGGCGGAGAGGTCGAGCAGCAGCCCGCCCCCGTGCACCACCAGCCGGCTGGTCAGCTCCTCCGACAGCACCAGCCTGCCCACGGAGCCTTCCTCGGCATCGGCCCCGCCCCAGCCCATGCCTCCCTCGCCTTCCTCCTGCTGTGCCCCCTCATCCTCACCCCAAATCCACCCCATGCCCCTCCTCATCCTCACCCCAAATCCACCCCCTGTGCCCTTACTCACCCCAAATCCACCCCCTGTGCCTTTCCTCATCCTCATCCCAAACCCACCCACTGTGCCCCTCCTCATCCCATCCCCATCCTAACTCCAGTCTGTCAAACCCACTCCCTTCCCCATCATCATCATCATCAAACCTCCTTAACCTCATCCTCCAACCCTATAACCCTTCCTATCCTATCCTATCCTATCCTATCCTATCCTATCCTATCCTATCCTATCCTATCCTAATCCCCATCCCATTCATCCCATCTAATGGATTCCATCCCATCCCAATCCTATCCCATCCCAATCCCATCTAATGGATCCCAACCCTATCCTATCCTACCCTAATCCCAATCCTATCCCAATCCCAAGCCTATCCCAATCCCAAGCCTATCCCAATCCCAATCCTATCCCAATCCCATCCCATCTAATGGATCCCATCCCATCCCAATCTTGTCCCATCCCAATCCTATCCCATCCCATCTAATGGATCCCATCCCAGCCCCACCTTCATCCTCATCCCCTCACCCTCCTCACTGTGTCCCCTCCCCATCCTCCCCCTTGGACCCCTCAATCCCGCTGCACCCTCATCAACCCCCTTCACCCTCCTCCTCCTCACCCTCCTGTCCCCGTCCCCTCCCCGTGCCCCTCCTGTCCCTGTCCCCTGCCCTGACCTGAAGGGTGCAAAGAGCCAGTGCCGGGCCAGGGTCCCCATGGAGAAGCCCCCCACCCAGTCTGCGTCCAGCTTCTTCAGCCCCGCGATGAAGTACACGATGAACACCTGGGGGGGCAGGGTCAGGGGGTCCCGGGGGGCTCCCGGGGGGTCCCGGGGGGGTCCCCCGGGGCAGGGGCACCCACCTGGGCACGCAGCAGGGCGTAGTTCCAGAGTGGCACGTGGGCGTTCCGCTTCTGGGGCCGGAAGAGCCCGTCCACGGAGCTGGGGGGACACGGGGGGGGGGACAAGGCCACTGTCACTGTCCCCAGTGTGCCACCCACTGCCAGAGCCCTGGGGACGCACTGGGGACAGAGAGCCGGGGGTGGCAGCTGCAGGGGCACCCACCTGGGCACGCAGCAGGGCGTAGTTCCAGAGTGGCACGTGGGCGTTCCGCTTCTGGGGCCGGAAGAGCCCGTCCACGGAGCTGGGGGGACACGGGGGGGGGGACAAGGCCACTGTCACTGTCCCCAGTGTGCCACCCACTGCCAGAGCCCTGGGGACGCACTGGGGACAGAGAGCCGGGGGTCCCAGTGGGAGCTGTCCCACCAGGTGGGTACACAGCGCCATGGGGACCCCAGGACCTGTGCCACCCGCTGGGGACACCACAGCCTATGCCACCCCATGCCACAGGGGTCCCCAGGACCTGTGCCACCCTTTGAGGACACCACAGCCTATGCCACCCCATGCCAGGGGGTCCCCAGGCCCTGTGCCACCCCCCTGAGGACCCAGTGCCAAGGGGACCGTGGGGTCTGGGCCACCCCACTGGGACCCTGGTGCCACAAGGGACCCCAGAACCTCTGCCACCCCATGGGAACCCCGTGTCACCACCCTGCTGCCTCGCAGAGCCCCAGTGGGGGATCCCCCGTGCCCCCCCGTGCTCCGGGGGTCCCCGCGGCCCCCCGGGTGCCCACCCGTAGCGGTCAGCGCCCAGCAGTGCCAGCTGGAAGCCCAGCAGCCCGTAGAGGTAGGAGTGGTTGTTCCAGGAGGTTTTGTCCAGCAGCAGCAGGTACCAGTAGGGGCACAGGAACGCCACGCAGCTCAGCCGGTAGCAGCAGCCCAGCATGATGCCCAGCGCTCCTGCGGGAACAGGAGAGCCCTGGCGTGGCCCCTGTCCCCTCCTGCTGCCTGTCCCCAGCTGGCCTCTGCTCCCCTGCCAGTCCCAGTGCCCACCCCAGTGCCCATCCCACCTCCATTCTTGACCCAGTGTCACCCCGTTCCTGTCCCAGTGCCACCCCTGCCAGTCCCAGTGCCCACCCCAGTGCCCATTCCCACCCCAGTGCCAGCCCCTGCCATGGTTCCTGCCCACATCCCACCCCCATTCCTGTCCCAGTGTCACCCCTATTCCTGTCCCAGTGCCATCCCCATTCCTGCCCCAGTGCCATCCCCATTCCTGCCCCAGTGCCATCCTTGTTCTTGTCCCAGTGTCACCCCCGTTCCTGTCCCAGTGTCACCCCCGTTCCTGTCCCAGTGTCACCTCCATTCCTGTCCCCATGCCACTCCTATTCCTAACCCAGTGCCATCCCTGTTCTTGTCTCAGTGCCATCCATGCCTGCCCCAGTGCCATCCTCATTCCTGTCCCAGTGCCACCCCTGCCTGTCCCAGTGCCACCCCTGTCCCTGTCCCAGTGCCATCCCCGTCCTTGTTTCAGTGCCATCCCTGCCTGTCCCAGTGTCAACCCTATTCCTGTCCCAGTGTCACCCCATTCCTGTCCCTGTGCTACCCCCATTCCTGTCCCAGTGCCATCCCCATTCCTGCCCCAGTGCCATCCCCATTCCTGCCCCAGTGCCATCCTTGTTCTTGTCCCAGTGTCACCCCCGTTCCTGTCCCAGTGTCACCCCCGTTCCTGCCCCAGTGTCACCCCCGTCCCTGTCCCAGTCCCCCCCGTCCCCCGTGCCCCCCGTACCCAGGAACATGACGGTGTAGAGCAGGTACATCCAGTCCAGGGGCAGCGGTGCCAGGAAGGGCAGCAGGGGGAAGCGGCACACCTCCAGCCCGTCCAGGTACCGCTGGTCCAGGTGCCCGAGGCCGCGCTCCTGCGGCACGTCCAGGGCCATCAGCAGCCCTGGGGACACGGGGGTGACACGGCCGGGGGTCACCGGGCAGGGGTCACCGGGCGGGGGTCACCGGGCGGGGGTCACCGGGCAGGGGTCACCGGGCAGGGGTCACTCAGCCGGGGGTCACCGGGCAGTGGCCGCAGCCCGGCCGGGCACTGACCCCTCCACCCGCCCCATCCCAACCTTCGCTCCGGTGCTGACGTGTCACGGCTGGACACCGCCGGCCACGGGGATGGGAGGCTCCCGGTCCCGATCCCCCAAGTCCCGGTGCCCCCGAGCCCCCCCAAAGTCCCGGTGCCCCCGAACCCTCCCAAGGTCCCGGTGCCCCCGGACTCCCTGAGCCCCCCCAGCCCCAGCCTCCCTGTGCCCCCCGAGTCCCCACGGAGCCCCCCCATCCCTCCCAGCCGCCCGGTCTCCCGGAGCCTCCGCTCGCTCTGTGCCCCGGTATCTCCCGGTGTCCCCCCGGTGTTCCCCCGGTGTCCCCCCGTGTGCGGTCTCCCTGTCCGGTGCCCCTCAGAGCCCCTCAGTCTCCCTGCTCCCCCGCTCTCCCCGTGCCCCCGCAGCGCCTCCCGGTCCGTCCCAGCCCCGGTTCCCCGGTGCCCCCCCGGTGCCCCGTCCCCGCTGACCGAAGGCTGCGCGGAAAGCCCCGAGCGCGGCGGGGTCCTGCGGCCGGTGCAGCAGCCGCACGAAGCGCTGCCATCGCGTCAGCTCCCGCAGCTCGAACCCCAGCAGCCGCCGCGCCAGCCCGGGCCCGCTACCGGCGCTCTTGGGGGACCCGGTGGGGCTCGGCGGAGGCTCCGCCGCCTCCTCCCGCTCCGGCCGCCGCCGCCGCGCCGGGCCTGCCGGGGGTCAGGGGTCAGCGGTCACGGGTCCCGGGGATCCCCGGAGGGTGTCGGGGGTCCCGGGGGGTCTCGGGGGTCCCCGGGGGTCCCGCGCCCCCCGCCCCGCTCCGCACCCGCCGCCGCCGCCGCCATCGCCGCGGCCCCGGGGGCACCGGGGGGCACCGGAGGGGGGTACGGGGGTCACCGGGATGTGCGTGGGGCGCAAGGGGGTGTCCATAAGGGGTTTCGGGGCGCCCCCGGGGTCTCTGTGGGGTTTCGGGGTTCATGGGGGGTCTGGTGTACACATGGGGGTGCCCGCGGAGGTGCCCAGCGTGGGGGGCTTGGCGGGTTCCTTTGGGGTGCCCGGGGTGTTTGGAGGGTGCCGGGGTGCCCCGGGCATACAGGGGGTGTCTGTGGGGTGTTTATGGGGGCACGGGGCCACCAGGGTGGGCGTGAGGCACCCACATCGGGCAGGGGGTCAGCAGGGTGGGCAGGGGTCAGCAGGGTGGGTACGAGGTACCCGCATTGGGCACGGGGTCATGGGGGTGTCCGGGGTCCCCGGGGTGCCCCTGACCGTGCCCTGTGCCCAGGCGGGGGTCCCGGACGGCGCGGGGGGCGCGGGGCGCGTGCGGGCGCTGCAGCAGGAGGTGCAGGGCGTCACCACCATCATGAGCCAGAACGTGGAGAGGATCCTGGCCCGGGGCGAGAACCTGGAGCAGCTGCACAGCAAGAGCCAGGACCTGGAGGCCACGGTGAGGGGGCACGGGGGGGGCACGGGGCACCCACAATGGGCACAAGGTCACCAGCATGGACATGGGGTCACCAGGGTAGGCATGAGGTCATCAAGGTGGGCACAGGGTCACCAGGGTGGACACGGGGTCACCAGGGTGGACATGGGGTCACCAGCATGGACATGGGGTCATCAAGGTGGGCACGAGGTCCCCAGGGTGGGCAGGATTGTCCCCAGGGTGGCAGTGTGCTGTCCCCATGGTGTCAGGGCTGTCCCCATGGTGTCAGGGCTGTCCCCGGGGTGTCAGGGCTGTCCCCAGGCTGCCAGCCTGTCCCCAGGTCCCTGAGCACTGTCCCTGCAGTCGGAGCACTTCCGCACCACGTCCCAGAAGATGGCCCGGCGCTACTGGTGGAAGAACGTGAAGCTGCTCGTCATCCTCGGCCTCGTGGGCGTCATCGTCCTCATCCTCATCATCCTCCTGGCCACCGGCACCATCCCCACCTAGAGCCACTGTCCCCACGGGGACACGGCCACCCCCGGGCACAAATACAGATGGGGGAGAGCCCAGGGACCTGTCTGTGTGTGTGTGTGTGTGGGGTGGGGGACATGGGGGACATTGAGGGACACAGGGGACATGGAGGGACACAGGGGGACATGGGGGGATACTGGGGACACATGGGGACATGGAGGGGACACAGGGGAACACCGGGGACACAGGGGGACATGGAGGAACACAGGAACATGGGGGGACACAGGGGGACATGGAGGGGACACAGGAACATGGGGGACACAAGGGGACATGGGGGGGACACATGAGGATGTGGAGGGACACGTGGGGACATGAGGGGACACAGTGGGGACAGGTCCCAGGGATGTGGGGACACTCACGTGGGGTCACGAGGGGGACACGTGTGGGGACACTGGCATGAGGGGATGCGTGGGGGGGAGGGGGCACTGGGGGGTCCCGGCCAGCCCCGTCCTGGCGTGGCCGGGGTGTCCCGGGCCGTGGTCACTCGCGGGTGGCGGGGGGGCGGTCCCGGTCCCTCCCGGCGGGGGCGGCCGCTGGGGCCCGAGGCGGGACGGGTACAGGAACGGGCGCACCGGTACCGGCACTGGCCCCGACCCCCGGGACCGGGACCATGGTGAGTCCCGGCCGCCGCTGGCGCCGCTTTCGCTTTCGCTTTGCGAGGGGCAGAGCGGGCTCGGAGCCGCGGGAGCCGCCGGGCCCGGCACCCCCGGTGCCGGTGCCGGTGCCTGTCCCGGTCCCGGTGCCGGTCCGCCCCTCGGGCTCTCCCTGCCGAAGGGAGGGACGCGGTCCCGGGGGTGGCGGGAGGTGGCCCGAGCGGCACTTTCCGTGTCCCCGAGTGTCCCGCGTGTCCCGCGGTCCCGGTGTCCCCTCAGTGCTCGTGTCCCCTCCGGTCCCATCCCGGTTCCCATCCCGGTCCCCGTCCCCACGGTTTCCTGTCCCCGCGCTCCGTGTGTGCCCCCCTGGCGGTGCCATTGTCCCTGCCGTGCCCGTGTCCCCAGGGTCAGGCTCTGTCCCCAGGGCGGTCCCCGCTGTCCCCATGTCCCCGCCGGGCCCGTCCCGTGGTTTTGTGTCCCCGCATTCCCCGGTCCCCCTTCCCCACGGTGTCCCCGCCTGTCCCCGTGTCCGTATCCGCGGTGCTCCCCCGTGTCCCCACGGTGTCCCCACGGTGTCCCCACGGTGTCCCCCGTGTCCCCAGGCGGGGCTGGCGCGGTGCCAGCGCGAGGCCGAGGAGGTGACGGAGCTGATGCGACAGAACGTGGCCAAGGCGCTGGAGCGGGAGGGACACCTGGAGCAGCTGCAGAGCCGCGCCCAGGACCTGCGACAGGCGGTGCGACACGGGGACACGGGGGTGGCACTGCGGGGACACCTGGAGCAGCTGCGGAGCCGGGGATGGGGGACACTAAAGGGACACACGGCCCAGGGGTGGGGTGTGGCACTAAAGGGACACACGGAGGGACATTGGGGACACAGAGGGGCTGGGGACACTGTGGGGACACTGGGGACACCCAGAGCTTGGGACACTGGGGATACCCAGAGCTTGGGGACACTGTGGGAACACTGTGGGGACACCCAGGGGCTGGGGATACTGTGGGGACACTGGGGACACCGTGGGGACACTGGGGACACTGTGGGGACACTGGGGACCATAGCCCGGGGATGGGGTGACACTAAAGGGACATACATGGCCTGGGGATGGGGTGACACTAAAGGGACACACGGAGGGACACTGGGGACACAGTGACAGCAAGGAGGGGGAGTGGAGCTTTATGGGGACACATAAACCTGGGGACACAGAGCCCAGGGGACACTGCAGGGTGTGAAGGGAGGACCCGTCACAGGACACACAGCTGGGGTGACAGTCCAGGGACATCGAGCCCTGGGAAGGGACATGGAGAGGCCAAGGAGGGACAAATTATTGGGACACAGAGCCCTGGGGTGACCCAGAGTGCTGAGGGACACTGGGGGGACACAGAGGGGCTGGGGACACTGTGGGGACACTGGGGACACCCAGCCTGGGCAGGAGAGGCTCCGGGGAGTGTCCGTGTGTCCCCAGGTGTCCCCCAGCCCCCGAGCAGCCCCTGGCACTGTCCCTGTCCCCGCAGAGCGAGGCCTTCACCCGCACCACGCGCGCGGTGACGCGGCGCCAGCGCAGGGCACAGCGCCGGTGGCACCTGCTGGCCCTCGGCCTCGGCCTCCTCCTCCTCTTCATCCTGGGGCTGGCCCTGGCGCTGGCCCTGGCGCGCTCGTCCCCCGGGACTGTCACCAGCACTGTCCCCACCCCGCGGGGGGCACCGAGCACCCCCCCAGCGCTGCAGGGAGCCCGCGAGGACGGGGGGACCACAGTGACAAATAAGTGACAAAAAAGTGACAAATGAACAGCAGGGCTCTTGGGGACACCCTGCAATGACAACAACGAACGTGGGACGATCCTCGAGGAGACCCCACAAGGAACAGACTCAAAAATCTGCTCTGAAGGGACCCCACAACGAAAACCCACTGGGGGGAAACACCACAAACAGCACAGGAGCTCTCTGGGGAGAGCCTGCAACCCCAAACCAGCAGCACGGACTGGGGGGACCCTAAAATAAATGAACACCAGGATCTGGTTTGGGATGATCCTACAATAAATAAATAAACACCAGGATCTGGTTTGGGGAGACCCTGCAACCCCAAACCAGCAGCACGGACTGGGGGGACCCTAAAATAAATAAACACCAGGGTCTGGTTTGGGGAGACCCTAAAATAAACAAACACCAGGATCTGGTTTGGGGAGACCCTAAAATAAACAAACACCAGGATCTGTTCTGGGGAGACCCTACAATAAATAAATAAATATCAGGATCTGGTCTGGGATAATCCTACAATAAATAAATAAACAGCAGGATCTGTTCTAGGGAGATCCTACAATAAACAAACACCAGGATCTGGTTTGGGGAGACTCTACAATAAATAAATAAATACCAGGACCTGGTTTGGGATGACCCTACAACAAATAAACACCAGGATCTGTTTTGAGAGCTGTTTGGGAAGACCCCACCAGAACAGGGCAGTGGCACCAGCCCAGGGCAGATCCCACAATCCCAAACCAACGGGATGATTTCCAGGAAGATCTTACAACGTGCCAGACCCTCCGGGGAGACCCCACAGTTAACAAAAATAAAATGCAGAGCGATATTTTAAAATAAAACAAAAAACCAGAGCAGTGGGGTGATCCCCGGGGTGACCCCACAACGACAAAAGGCCCTGAAGTAATAAATAAATAAATAATAAATAATAAATAATAATAAATAATAAATAATAAATAATAAATAATAAATAATAAATAAACCCCACAGAGCATCCTGGGGATGCCCCACAACAACACAGGGACCCTGGGGACAGCTGGCCTTGGCCACAGGTGCCACCAAACCCGTGCCCTCAGCCCCGCTCCCGCCCCCGTTCCCGGGCGCCCCGCACCTGGTGCACGATCACGGCCGTCACCCGCCCGTCGTCCCCCTCGTACTCGAGGCAGAAGAGCCGCGGTCCCCGCGCCGCGTCCGGGGCGTCCCCGCGGCTCTCGGGGGGCGGCCCCGCGCCGGCATCGCCCCCGGGCCCGCCTGCGGCACCGCACCCTCAGCGGGGCACCGGGGCACCGGGACCGCACCCCCGGGGGCCCCAATCCCCGGTGTCCCTACTGGGCTGGGGACAGGAGGGAGACGCAGAAGGGGACACAGAGGGGACCCTGGGGACACCCTGGGCACTCCTGGCCTTGGTCAGAGGTGCCACCAACCTGGGCTGGGGACAGGAGGGGGACACAGAGGGGACGCTGGGGACACAGTGGCACCTGAGGAGGGGGTGGCCGCTCCAGGGAGGGGACATGGTGGCAGCTGGGAGGGACCAGCTGGGGGAATGTGACACCTGGGTACCCATTAGCCGCGTCACTCCCCGTGCCGTGCCTCAGTTTCCCCGAGCAGTGAGCGACACCAGAGCCTCGCAGCACCTTTATTGACACCGGGGGGGCGGCGCCGGCGGCGGGGGTGGCAGTGCCCGGGGCTGCGGCGGTGTCACCCGGTGCCCCGGCGCTTGCTGAGCTCGTCCTGCACGCGCTGGCACAGCGCCCGCCGCAGCGGCGGCTCCAGCGGGCTCCGGGCGCACACCCGCCGGGTCACCTCCTCGGCGCTGTCCCCCTGCCACAGCCGGGTCACCCTGCCTGCCTGCCCCAGGGACCTCCCAGGGCACCCCACTGCCCCCAGGGACCCACCCAGGGCACCCCCACTGTCCCCGAGGTACCCCTCTGCCCCACAGAACCCACCCACGGGGAACCCCCACTGCCCCCAGGGACCCCCCAGGGCACTCCCCCTGCCCTCGGGGAACCCCCCAGGACATCCCCACTGTCCCCGAGGTGCCCCCACTGCCCCACGGACCCCACCCTGGCACCCCCAGTGCCCCCAGGGATCCCACGGGGACCCCCCACTGTCCCCAAGGACCCCCCACTGTCCCCGGGGACCCCACAGAGCACCCCCACTGCCCCAGGAACCCACCCACGGGGAACCCTCACTGTCCCAAGGGTACCCCCAATGTCCCCGGGGACCCACCCAAGGGACACCCCACTGCCCCAGGGACCCCCCCTGGGCACCCCCCCCGGTCCCCTGTCCCGTGGGACCCGGACCGCACCCCCGGGGGCCCCAATCCCCGGTGTCCCTGGTGTCCCCAATCCCCAGGGTCCCCATCCCCCGGTGTCCCCGGTGTCGCCATCCCCGGTGTCCCCAATCCCGGTGTCCCCGGTGTCCCCAATCCCCAGTGTCCCCATCCCCCGGTGTACCGAGTCCCCCGGTGACCCAATCCCCGGGGCCGCGCCGGGCCCGGGATCAGCCGCGTCCGCGCTCGGCCCCGCGCCTGCCGCACCGCGCGGTCGTACGCGTCCCTGGGCACGGCGGAAACCTTATGAGGTGAGGGCACCCGGCAGCACCGGGGCCAAACCGGCCCGGTGACACGGGCCCACCCACCGGGCCCGCGCCGCTACCTGGCGAGCTGGTTGCGGCGGATGTGCCGCACGAAGCCGTGGCTCATGGCCGCCGCCTCCATCCCGGTACCGGCGGCCGGGCTCGGTACCGGGGGCGCGGCGCCTTTAAGAGCCCCCGGTGCCGCCGCGCGCCGGCAGGGGGCGCCGCAGCGCGCAGGCGCGGCCGCGCCTCTCCCCCTCAGCGGCGGCCGCGCATGCGCAGGGTGAGGAAAACGGTTTCCCCTCTGGCGCGGCGCATGCGCAGAGAGGCAGAACCGGCGCCATGTCGAGCCGCGGGAGGCGGGACCGCGACCCCCGGGAGCCCCGGGAGCCCCGGAGGGTGTGAGGAGACATTGGGGTGTGAGGGGACGCTGAGGGTGTCAGAGGACATGGGGGGTATGAGGGGGTCTGAAAGTGTGAGGGGACATTGGGGTGTGAGGGACACTTGGGGTGTTTGGGGTGACTCTAAAATGGCACTGGGGTGTCTGGGGGGACTCTGAAATGATACTGGGGGGGCTAAGGAAACTCTGAAATGACACTGGGTGTGTCTGGGGGGATTCTAAAATTACCCTAGGGTGTCTGGGTAAACTCTGAAATGACACTTGGGGTGTTTGGGGGGACTCTAAAATGGTACTGGGGTGTCTGGGTGGATTCTAAAATGACACTGGGGTGTCTGGGGGGACTCTAGAATGACACTGGGGTGTCTGGGGGGACTCTAGAATGACACTGGAGCCGGCACCGCCGCGCCCGTGCGGGTGAAGCGGGAGCGGGAGCCGGATGGAGACTCCGACCCTGAGCCCGAGCCCGCCGGTGGGGACCGGGAGGAACGGGGGGGACACTGAGGGTGTGAGGGGACACTGAGGGTGTGAGGGGACACTGGGGGTGTTGGGGTGTGAGGGACACTTGGGGTGTTTGGGGTGACTCTAAAATGGCACTGGGGTGTCTGGGGGGACTCTGAAATGATACTGGGGGGGCTAAGGAAACTCTGAAATGACACTGGGTGTGTCTGGGGGGATTCTAAAATTACCCTAGGGTGTCTGGGTAAACTCTGAAATGACACTTGGGGTGTTTGGGGGGACTCTAAAATGGTACTGGGGTGTCTGGGTGGATTCTAAAATGACACTGGGGTGTCTGGGGGGACTCTAGAATGACACTGGGGTGTCTGGGGGGACTCTAGAATGACACTGGGGTGTCTGGGTGGTTTCTGGGACCAGGGGGTCACTGCCCCTGGGGTCCTGAGCTCGGCTCTGCGCAGGGTTTGGAGGCTCTGGGAGCAGCTGGGGCTCAGCCCTGGGGAGCTGTCACAGAGAGGGGGCTGGGTGGGGTCATCCTCGTGGTTTTGGGGTCCCTGTGCCCCCCTTTTCTCACCCTCCTGCCCCTCCTCAGTGCGCTACGGGCGCTTCGACCCTGAGGACCAGCGCAGCCGGCACTGCCCCTACCTGGACACCATCAACAAGTGGGTGACGGGGCTGCTTTGGGGTGTCCCTGTCCCTGGGGGTGCCCCCAGCTGCCCCCCAGCCCCGTGACACCGCTCTCCCCCCAGGAGTGTCCTGGACTTTGACTTTGAGAAGCTCTGCTCCATCTCCCTGTCCCACATCAACGTCTACGCCTGCCTGGTCTGCGGGAAGTACTTCCAGGGTGAGACCCTCCTCTGGGGCTGCTGGGGCATGGGGACAGCAGGGGACAGCCAGGGGACAGCCAGGAGTGATGAGGGACAGCCAGGGGACAGCTAGCAGTGATGAGGGACAGCCAGGAGTGATGGGGGACAGCCAGAGGACAGCCAGGAGTGATGGGGGACACTGCTGGGGACAGCTAGCAGTGATGAGGGACAGCCAGGAGTGATGTGGGACACCACTAGGGACAGCCAGGAGTGATGGGGGACAGCCAGGACAATGGGGGACACCACTGGAGACACCCCAGTGCTGCTGTGAGGGACACCTGGGGGTAGGGGTGGTGTTGCTGGGGACACCCAGGGACAGGGCACAAGGGGTCTGGGGTGTTGCTGGGGACACCCCAGGCTCTGGGGACACCCGGGGCTGTGGGGACACCCAGGGACAGGGAGCAGCCAGGGAGAGGCAGCTGTCAAAGGGCACAAAGAGGTTGCCTGGGGAAGGCCACCATGGGGACAGCAGGGGCAGGGTGGCTGCTGGGGCAGCCCAGGGACCCTCTGTGTGCCCCCTGCCTCTGGCACGGTGCTCGGTGCCACCCCTGGTGCCCGTGTCCCCCACAGGCCGCGGGCTGAAGTCGCACGCCTACATCCACAGCGTGCAGCTGAGCCACCACGTGTTCCTCAACCTGCACACGCTCAAGTTCTACTGCCTGCCCGACAACTACGAGATCATTGACTCCTCCCTGGAGGACATCACGGTGCTGCGGCTGGGGCTGGGGCTGGGGGGTCTGCCCACACCTGAGGGCTGTGGGATGGGCTCTGCCCCAGGTCTGAGGGATTGGGATGGGGGCTGCCCCAGATCTGAGGGGTTGGGATGGGGATCTGAGGGGTGTGGGATAGGGTCTGCCCAGATCTGAGAGGTGTGGGGTGGGGTCTGCCCCAGATCTGAGGGGTTTAGGATGGAGATCTGAGGGGTTTGGTGTGGGATCTGCCCCACATCTGAGGGGTTGGGATGGGGTCTGCCCAGATCTGAGAGGTGTGGGGTGGGGTCTGCCCCAGCTCTGGGGGGTTCA